CTCCGCAAAAGGGGTAAGCCTGTCGTCACCGCTGAGTCCAGAGTGGCTGGCACGTAGTAGGTGCCCAATCAATGTTAGGGAATAATAGATGAAGGATACAAAAGCGGTACCTTGAGAGCTAAAACAGCGTTTCTCTTCACCTCTACAAATCGGCTGTGAACAACAGCTGTGAGACTCTTCAGCCCCCACTTTCAAGCTTTTGGGGCTCCTGTTCTATCTTCATCCCATCATCGCAACTGTGGAGGATTATTGTCTTTCCCATGTGACCCAGGTGCTAAGTGTCTCACATATTTATACCGGTTAATTTTCCAACAAGAAGTCCTCTGGGAGGGACAGGACCTCTGAGGTGAAGGGGAAACATGCTTGGTTCTTTTTTCTTTTTTTAGCACGCAGAAAATTTACAGACAAGTTCCATCCAATTTTGAAGCAACGAGTCTGTTTCCTATTTCTTAGATATATTTTTGCAGAAAATGGAAAAAGAGGGAAGGTCGACCAACATGAGGCTAGTTTAATATTCTTAAATAAGCTAGATAAGTGCACCACAAGGCAAGAAAAGTATACACCTGTTTTACTAATGAATATAGATGTGAAAAATTCTAAATAAAATACTAAGCTAATTAAATTCACTAGTGTACATAAAATGAATCAGTGTGCTAAGTGAAATCTCAGTCACAAAAAGACAAAGTCTGTATGAGTACACTTACAACAAGGTATCTAGAGCGTCAAATTCATAGAGACAGAAAGTAAAATTGTGGTTGCGGGGGGAGGGGGAATGGACTTGTTCTCTAGTGAGTATAGAGTTTCAGTTTTGATTAAATGTCATGATGTACTGTAAATTTAAAAAAAATTTTTAAATAGAGTTTCAGTTTTGAAAGATGTAAAAGTTCTGGAGATTGGGTTGCACAACAATGTGAATATACTTAACACTACTAAACTACACACTTAAAAATGGTTAAGAGGATAAATTTTATGTTATGTGTATTTTACCACAATTAAGAATAAATTTTTTCCCAAAAAAATGCATGAAGATCAAGTAGAGTCTGTTCCAAGAATGTAAGAATGGTTTGACATTAGAAACATCTGTTCCTGTAATTCACCACATCAGTGGACTACGGGAGAAAATGGATACGGTTATCTCAAAACATGCAGAAAAACCATCTGATGAACTTCTATGATTATTCATGATAAAAACTCACACGGGAACAAAAAGGAACTTTCTCAGGTTGATAAAAATCATACACAATTAAGTATGATGGAGTAAATATTCACATTCTCTTCAAGATCAGGAACAAGACAAACATGCCCTCTACCCTGATGCCATTTAGCATAGCCTTAGAAGCCCTGGCCAAAACAATAAGCCGAGAAAAAGAAATGAGAGTGAACTGTCCTTGGCAGATTATATCGACATAGAAATCCAACGTAATCTACAGGGTAATCTACTCTAACGGATTAGAGAGTTCAGCAATGTTACGGGGGATAAAAAACGAGCTAACAAAAATTAGCACTCTTCACACCAGCCATAACCAACTCGAAAATACAATAGAAAAAAAGGTATCATTCACAACAGCAATAAAACCCATGAATTAGAAAATAAAAACACAACCCAGAGCTTTTTGGAGAAAAAACAATTCGATGACATAAAAGAAGACGCGGACAACTGAAGGGACAAAATCTTGTTAATGAATAGAACAACTTAACGCTTAAGGATGTGATTTCTCCTGAAATTAATCTAGAAATTCCATGAAATCCCAGTAGAAATTGAAAGAATTTTTGAAGAATTTGAAAACTTTTTTTAATAATATTTCTATAGAAGAATAAAGGTCCATGAAAAGCTAGGTCAGGTTTGAAAAAGATGACCGAAGAGAGGGGACTTGCCCTCCCACATTAAACCACGCCACAAACTGTAATAATAAAAAACGTATGATACTGCGAGAAGTAGTCAAGGGGACCAAAGGAATAAAAAAGAGAGCTTAGAACAGATACACATGTGTGTGTGTGTGTGTATGAAACTGTACAGTTGATATGTGATAAAGGTGGCCCCAGTTCAGAGGGAGAAAGAACCTGTTGTTTGGTAGGTAGTTCTAAGGAAACTAGCTCACTCTGCAATGAAATAAATCTAGATCCCTGTTTGCACCACATTCAAAGGTGGAATCCATAGGGTTAAGTATCTCCATACTGGGTATAACGATACCTAACGTTTTTCAGGAGCTTACGTGTGGCAGCCGCTGCACTATGCTCCTTACTGTGTCTTGATTGATTTAATCCTAAATTAGTGCCACGAGGGAAGCACGGTTCATGCCTCCACTGTCCCTTTATGGACTGGGGGAGAGTTCTTCTTGGAGTAGGGCTTCCAGGCCATGGGCATAGGCACTCATGACTTCACAAAGTACCACAGGTGCTCTCCTGAGTGGCCGTAGAGTTGACACACCACCTTGAGGCGTCTGGTTTTCACTCGGCACTTGGCATCGTCCAGCCGCGGACCGGCTTGCCAGTCTGTCGAATCTGAAGTGCTGCATCATTTTCGTCTGGGTTCTCTGCCGACTGCTGAGTTCGAGCAGCTGCTTATGCGTCTGTCAGCCATTGGGTTTCCCCTTCCATGAATTGCCTGCTCATATCTTTTCTCCTTTTTCCTGTGGGGTTTCTGGCCTTTTCTCTCTCTCTCTCTCTCTCTTTTTGCTGATTTGCGAATCTGTACATATGTGATCATTAATCCCCTGTTGGTTTTGATCTTGCGCACATTTCCTCCCTTTCTCTCCTTCGTCTGACGCGCCCTTCGTTAAAGAACCACCACTCCTTTTCACATAGTCACATCCATCGGGTTTGTGCTTTGTGAGTCTTGCTTTCCTCACTCCAAGTCACGTAGATATCCTCCAGCATCTTACTCTATTGGCTTTACACCATAAAGTTTATAGTTTTACTATCTAGAAAAGTGTTGCAATGAAGTAGTTGAGAACCTGGCTCTGGAGCCAAACTGCCCCCTTACTAGCTTTGGGGACTTGGAGGGCCAGGACTGGGGCAAGAAGAGTGAGGTACTCCCTCTGGGGGAAAATTTTAAGGGTGCCTCAAAAATATTTTTATGCATTTTTTTAAAAAAATCACATTTAAAGCAAAAACTCATGACGAACAAAATATTAAAATTTTAAATAAGGACAGAATTTGACCTTGCATGACTCACCTCACTTGCTTTGGCTCTAGTCCCAGCCCTGTCTTGAGCTGGTTACATAACCTCTCTGTGCCTCAGTTTCCTCATTTGTCTGATAGAAGAAAGGGGCGAAGAGGGAAGACGGGATGTGAAGAAGGGGAAATGAATTCATGTAATTCGAAAGGGGCCATGCGCATAGTGATAATGTGTCAAGAACTGAGAAGTAGGATTGACTCAGCTGTGTACATGAGGTCATAAAACGAAATGTGGAGGGAGGGTGGGGGTGGAGGAAGACAAGTACTCTGGGAACTAGGTGGACCTGGGTTCAAATCCCAGTTCCGCCACTTGCAAGCATTTGGGACTTTGGCAAACCACTTACTTATCCATTCCAAATATTTATTGAGCATCTATTTAGTGTCAAACACTGTTCTGGACACTATATTAATAGATACAGTGGTGAATAAAACAGCCTAAAATAAGATAATTTCAGGTAAGTGTTCTGTGATGCAAAACTGACTTTTTTTTCTGACAAGGTCTTTCTCTGTTGCCCAGGCTGCAGGGCAGTGGCATGATCATAGCTCACCACAACCTCCAACTCCTGCCTCAGCCTCGCAAGTAGCTACAACTACAGGCACATGCCACCAGGCCTGGCTAACTTTTTTTAATTTTATTTTTTTGTAGAAGTGGGGTCTCACCATGTTGCCCAGGCTGGTCTCAAACTCCTGGGCTCAAGCAATCCTCCTGGCTTGGCATCCCAAGGTGCTGGGATTACAGGCGTAAACCACTGGCCCAACCCCAAACTGACTTTAGATTGCATATTCAGGGATGGCCTCTCTGAAAGGTGACATTCGAGATAATGAAAGGAGCCACCTGCCAGAAGAGCAAGGTTAAGTGTTTTCCAGGCATAGGGAACAGCATGTGCAAAGGCCCTGAGGTGGGATGAGCTTGGACTGTGAAGGAAGATGGTAAGAAAGCCAACGTGGCTGAACAGGGTGAAAACGGGGCAAAGGGGGACTTGACGAAGTTGGGAGAGGCAGGCAGGCACCAGCGCCTTCAGACTTTTATGGACCTTAGTCAAGAATTCAGGTTTCAGTCTAAGTACAATGGAAAACCAAGGGAACGTTTGAATCAGAGAGACTTAGCAGCTACTTTTGTTAAAAAGTTTCATCTAACAATAATACACACAGAGAAAAAGGTATGTTTTAAAAGATCACTTTGGCTGCTGCGTGGGACCAAACTGGAGGAAAGTGGAAGCCACATAAGCTCTCTGAGCCTCAGTTTCCACATCTGCAGAATGGCGAGAATACCCCTCCCGTGCAGGGCTGTGATGAGTAAGGCGAGGAAACAGTTCCCAGGCGTCTCCTTGGTACCTAAGGAGCTGGCTGGGACGCAAAAGGTCCAATCCCGGGCCAGGCGGCTGGGGTGAGGAAGACCCTCCAAGATCCAACCCAGGATCGCCTCCGAGCATGGTGCTGGCTGTCGCTTACCGAGGCGGCCGCTGGGCGGCGCCACGGGCCTGGCGCGCTCCGTCAAGAAGAGGTCCCGGGGAGGGGGAAGGGGGGAGGAGGGGACGAGTATTTGCATACACAGAGTGCAATGCGCACCATCCAAGGGATGGGCACACTTGAAACTCGGACTTGCGGGGGAGTGGGGAGGCAAGGGCAACTTACATAACCTAAACATCTGTACCCCCATAATATGCTGAAATTAAAAAAAAAAAAAAAGAGGCCCCGCCCACCCACAGTTCGCTCGGCGCTCGGCAGCTCTGGCCTGTTAGAGCGGCCGGGGGCGGGGCCTCGGCTGGGGCTCGGGCCGGTCGAGCTCCCAAGGCGACGGCGCGGGGCGGCGCTTCGGGGGGGCGGGACCGCGGCGGCGCGGGGTGGCGGGCGCAGATGGCGGCGGCGCAGGGCGCCTGAGCGGGCGGGGGCCATGAGCGCCGCCCGGCCCCAGTTCAGCATCGATGACGCCTTCGAGCTGTCCCTGGAGGACGCGGGCCCTGGGCCCGAGTCCAGCGGGGTCGCCCGCTTTGGGCCGCTGCACTTCGAGCGCCGGGCCCGCTTCGAGGCGGCTGACGAGGACAAGCAGTCCCGGCTGCGCTACCAGGTGAACGGCCCGGCCAGACCTCACCCCCTGCCCCAGTCCGGGCGGGACCCCAGGCCGGGCCTGGGAACCCCAACTCGGGAAAATCTGCCTAGAGGACCCAGGCGGAGCGGGAGATAAGACCCCCGACGTGACCCCTGATCCAGAGCCCTGCCCTGTCCCTCTCAGCTCTGATTCGGGTCCCCAGTCAGCACTGGGGAGCCCAGACCCAGGAACTCATCCCTCAGCCCCAGCTGGAGAACCCACCCATCCTGGGTACTGACCCCCGCCCCCCGGGTTTGGGAAGATCCTCTGTATCTGAACCAGACCTCCCCCATACGCAGGAGCCGAGCCCTCAGCCCCAGGTCAGCCCACAGGAACCTGCACCCTCTTCTCTGTTCTCACTCTCCCCCTTAGAGCTGGAGGCTCCCACTCACATGACAAATCCTTGCCCACCTCTGACTCCCACTAAACCGGAAATCCCCATTTTCCCAGAGAACCTCCACCAACCCTAGGATCCTTTTCTTGGAGACCTGGACCAGATTCCTGTACCCTAAACCTGGGAACCCCGGGCCTGTCCTTCCCTGGCACCCCAAATCCAGAGCCCCCATTCTAGGCCCCTGAAACATCCTGAGAGCTCCACCCTGACTTCCAAACTTGGGAGATCCCGGGCCCTGGGACCCGTGCTGGAAGCCCTCAGCCAACTCCTGCTGGCTCCTGCTCCCCAAAGCCCCCAGCATCCACCCACCTCCTTTCTGGGTTTCGGTTTTGGTGAATCACCAAACCCGTTCTGCGGGAGGGTGAAGGGCCAGGTGAGCAGCTGTGTAGGCCTGCTTTTCTCATCTCCTCGGGAGAGGACTGAGGGCCCGAGCCCAGCAACCCCTCTGAGCCCTGTGTTCTGGAACAGAACTTGGAGAACGATGAGGATGGAGCCCAGGCCTCTCCAGAGCCGGATGGGGGAGTCGGCACCAGGTCAGGGCCAGGTGGGGACCCACCCCTGTACCCCAAGCCTCATGCCTCTGGCTCATGTCCCCAAGGACCCCATCCAGTCCCCCACCGCACTTCCCTCAGCTCTCTTATGCCCAGTCCTGTAAGGATTCCTAGCCAGACCCCCACTCCCTTGATGCGGTCCACTATACTGCAGGGTCACCAACCTAGTGCCCAGCCTCATTCACTCACCCCTCCAGGCTCTATCCTGGAGGAACCCCCAGCCTGGTCTGGCCCCCACCTTCCCACAGGTCACCTATGCTGCAATAACCCCTAGTGCTCATCCCCAGCCTTCCCCCACCCCCAGTCCTATAGAAATCCCCAGCCCCTCACTTCATCCTCACCCCCAGTCCCCTCTCAGGGCCCTCTATCCTGCAGGGCCCAGCCCTAGTCCCTGCACCACCCCGCACTTCACCATGACTCCTGTCCAGAAGGGACCCCCTTCTGTGTCCGCACCTCCCCCACACTGGGCAACCCGTCCCACAGGGATCCCGGCCGAACCTCCATCCGAAGCTCCCAGTGGTCCTTTAGCACCATCAGCGGCAGCACGCAGCGCTCCTACAACGCCTGCTGCAGGTGAGCCTGGCCGTGCTCAAGCCCCCAGCCTCTGAGCCACCTGCTGCCCCTGTGGCCCCTGCCCCAGCACAGGCAGCCCTGGCTCTACCCCCAAGCCTCCCACACCCCCACTTCACCTCTTTTCACCCCACCCTGCTCTCCTGCCACCCAGCTGGACCCAGCACCCTTTGATCCAGAAGAACCGCCGGGTAGTACTGGCTTCCTTCCTGCTTCTGCTGCTGGGGCTGGGTGAGTGCCCCTGAGGGACCCTGCCTACCCCCGTGGGAGGGTCTGCCCTCCTTTTGTGCAAGCTCTGCATCCCCCCACTTTGGCATAATGGGCCTCTCAGCATCCTGCGGAGGCAGCTGGCTGCCAGCACCCCCATTTTACAGGTGAGGAAACTGAGGCCTTGAGAGGAGCAGGCCAAGAAATCACACATAGCTGAAAATGGAACCTGGTTCAGCACTCCAAAGACTTTTCCTTTTTTTAGACTTAACCTGTTTAATCCATCAGGGAACAGAAGAGTAACAGTTACCATTTCTTCCGAGACTACTTCAGGCCAGGTGCAGGGCAGGTTATCCCCCCACCTTACAGAGGTCGTAGAACAGCGAAAGGTAGAGTCCAGCACCTCTGTGTAGGGGCTCAGGGCTATGCCTGTCCCTATGGGCAGGGATTCTGCCAGCCTGGATCCAAAGGGCACCTGTCACCTCCCCTTCTCTGGAGTCTGAGAGCTGACAGGATTTCTTTCCCACCCCCATTGCTCTGATGGGGAAACTGAGACCCAGAGCAGGCAGATGTCAAAACCAGGTGTTTTCTCACTGCCAGGATCCTCATTCTATGGGGCTGAGGAGGCAGGGTCCCCAGAAAGGATCCAGGGTTGGGGTCCGGAGGGGCTCATAAGGAGGGACCGAGTGTGGCTGCTGCCCCAGTTCCCCTCTCCCTTCCCCAGGAAGGCCAAAGCCCCTCAGCCAGCCAGGCCCCAGCCAGAAAGCCTGGGTTCGGCTCTGGGTGTCTGCGTGCAGAGGAGGGAGCTACCATTTCCCAGCACCACCGCATGCCGGGCACTGGTGGCGCTGGCCATAGGCTTTGTCTCATTTTATTCTCAACAACCCAACAAGGCAAGCATTATCACCATCCAGTTCCAGAAATAAGGACACAGGCTCAAGCAGGTGAAGGGACTTGCCCAGATTGCAGCTGGAAAGTAGATGAGCTGCTATTTAAACCCACATCTGTGACATTGCCAGGCCTGGGGGCCACCAGAGGTCCAGAAAGGGCCTTTGTAGGAACTAAAAGAGGATGTCCCCTGAGCGGGCAGAGCCGCAGCCCTAGGCCAGCGTGCAGGGAGTGAGTTGCGCTCCCATCATACCGTTTTTGACATGCTCTGTGCAGTGCACAAAGCAGCAGCAGTCCATGGTGGCCCCTCAAGGCCCCAGGACCACCCCCCTTTCGGAGCCCAAAGTCCACTCCCCCCCTTCCTTCCTCCCTCCTCTAACTGGGTACACAGGACTCTGGGTCTGAAAAGTGGATCCAGCCATGACCTCACCACCTTCCCCAACACCCACTGTGCTCCACCAAAGCCCACATCCCTCCCCTGGGGGTTACAGGCCCACTGAGTTCCTCCCACCTGGCCTCTCACCTCTCTGGTCTTGCCAAATGCTGGGCACTCTCAGAAAGCCCCACGTTCCCTGCAGACTGGATCTTTGCCGTGCTGTTCCCTGTCTGGAACTCTCCTCTTTCTCTCTGTCTGGGTGATGCCCATAGCACAGCCTCTAGAGCCAGGCAGCCTCACCTTCCACCTGCAGCCGTGTGGGCAAGTTACTCGCTCTCTCTGTGCCTCATTTTCATCTTCGGTGAAGTGGGGCTGGTGATAATACCTGTCTCATTCGCTCAAGGTGACAAATAAAGCCGTGCACATAACACGCTTAGCCCAGTGCCTGGCAGCAACTGGTAAGTGGTCAACAAATATTAACTGCTGTTGCTCCTGCTGCTCCTGCTGGGCTTAGATGTCACTGCCTCCAAGAAGCCCCTCCCTGGTCCCCCAGGCTGGGCCAGGCCACTCCGGCTCCCACACCGCCCTGTTCTCACCCCCACCCCCATATCCTGATCACCTGGGTTGTAGCTTTCAGGTTCGTGGTCCCTCCACTAAGGCAGGGCCATAAGGGCAGGGACCTCATCTGCCTTTCACCACGGTTCCCAGTACAGGCGCGCAGTAGGTGTTCCATAAATGTTTGCTGAATGACTGAAAGGCCACACTAAGGAGCAGTCAAAAATCTCTCATCTCACAGACATTTCCCAGGGCCTGCCAAGCGCCCTGCTCTGAAAACACAGAGCTTCATGAGCTTCCTGGGGAGGGTCTCTGCCCAGGGGGCCTCCGGCTTTGGTGGGGGACACCACCCCTTAGGGCTGAGCCAGGTGGGCGGTAGAAGTCCCCGCCCTCACCCCTGCTCTTGCCCTCACCCCCGCGGCTCCATCTGTGCGCAGTGCTGATCCTGGTCGGCGTGGGACTGGAGGTGGCCCCGTCTCCAGGTGAGCGCCCCCTCGGACCCCCACAGGCAGCAGTCACCCCGGTCTGGTGCCTGTGGGTGCTTGGCAAGCCCGTCCACTTCCCGCAGGAAAGGGCCCCCTTTTCGGCTCAGAGTGCGGCTTGGCAGGGCCGGAGGGACTCGCAGCCGCCCCCAGCCCTGACCCGACCCTCCTCCCGCGCAGGTGTCTCCAGCGCCATCTTCTTCGTGCCCGGCTTCCTGTTGCTGGTCCCGGGAGGTGCGAGCGGGCGCCGGGGCGGGGCGGGGCGGGGCAGGGCGGGCGGGGCGGGGCCTCGGCGCTGACAGACCCCGCCCCGCAGTCTACCACGTGATCTTCATCTACTGCGCCGTCAAGGGCCACCGGGGCTTCCAGTTCTTCTACCTGCCCTACTTCGAGAAGTGAGCGGCGCCTCGGGGACCCGCGCCCGTTCCGTTCCCTCATCCGCCAGGACCCTCGACAGCCCGTCGGGAGGCTGCTCGGGAAGTTTGGGGCAGGACTGGCCCTGGGAAAAAGTCACTCCGCCCGCTCAGTGCCTTAACTTATTCTCGGGCCCTGGGACTGCTAGGTTGGTGTTATTTTGTGCTAATAAAAGAGTAATTCCCGCAGAGACAATTGCTCTGTTCCTGTCACGTCACCCCTGGCCCGGCCCACCGACCTGACCACGCCCCCTCCCACAAAAGCTGAGGAAAGGACTGAGCCAGGGGCTGAAGGGCTTCCAGAACCCGATCTCCCCACGGCAGGGCAGGCATGACTGCCCTGATGCTCTGAGTCTTGCCCAAGATCATGTGGCATGTTTGGGCCAGAGCCGGGCCTGGGGCTCTTTTGCCTTGACCCTAGAGGAGGCTGGAACAGCCTGCCCCAGCCCCAGCCCTTAGGCTCTGCCTGTCGCTGTCCCTGTCTGGCGACCCTGGCCCAGGGCACTCAGATGACGCAGACTTGGGGCCTGGAGGCTCGTACCCTAGTTCCAGCCTGGCTCTGGGGCCCTGGGCTGCCACAGCCGGCCCTGAATGTGGGCCATGCCTCCTCCACGCACTGCCCTCCTTCCCAGGTACAGAGGTTGGGAGGAGCCCAGGGGCAGAGGGCGGGGGAAGCAGGGCCTGCGTGACAGAAAGCCTCAGTGGTCAAAGACTCTTAGAACCACAGAATGTTAGAAACTTTCCATCTCAGAATTTTGGAAAATCAGAGTATCTCAGAATCTTAGTAACCAACAAACAGAATCCTTGAGAACCCTGAAATCTGAGATCATAATATCTACCAGTGAGCGAGCTCTTGTAAGACACCAGGCCATGTGCTGAGCACTTACCACAGATTATGATTTGTAATCCTCCCCACCTCAGCCCATTTTACTGACTCATCCAAGGACAGCCAGTGGGTTGCAGGCAGAGTTAAGAACATAACCCAGGGCTCCAGGGCCCTTTCCATGACACTGGGGGAGAGGGAGGAGACAGAAACTGACCTGGTGTGGTCCCCCGCCAGCCAGTGGAGGGGCTGCCGAATGAGCGTGGGCAGGAGAGGCCGGTTGGTATACCCCCGTGTTTGCAGTATGTCCCTCCTCTAAAGCATGAGTCCCACTCACCACTGTCTGCAGCAGCCAGCACCGCAGGTGCCTCCAGAGTTCCGGGAAGTTGCATGAATACCCAGGCCCACCCAGACCTCCCACCCTCAGCCCCCAGTCAAGACATTTTCGCTGGGAGCACCCACTGGATGCAGGAACTCCTAAACCAGTGGTTCCCATACTAGCTGTGGCAAAGGACCAGTTTTCATTTCTAATCCATCATGGACTAATACATTTGTAAGATAAAAATAAAAACTAGAAAAATGAAATTTAAAAGATATACAGAATATAAGCCTTAATCAGACAAAATTACATTTCAATAAGTAGAACATAGGAAAAAGAAAAATGACAAAAACCATTCATTGAAAGTGAGCAAATAGGCAATTAACAAAGAGTCACTACTACACTTAAAACTGTTTATCATTCTACAATCTCAACAGAAAGTTATTCTAGAAGTGATGATTCCCCATAAGTCTGTGTCAGGAATCAGCAAGGTGTAGTCCACAGAATGACTTTTTAAATTAAATTTTTTTTTTACTCCCTTAAAACAGCATGAATACAGAATGGTTTTTGTATTTTGTGATGGTTGGGAAAAGTTAAAGAATAATAAGACTTCATGACATAAAATTATATAAAATTCAAATTTCTGTATCGATAAAGTTTTATTAATTAAATTTGCAACACAGCCACACTCATTTGTTTATATATTGACTTTGACACTACAAAGGCAGAGTTGAGTGATCAGCTGCAACAGAGACCACGTGGCCCTCAAAGCCTAAATTAATTACCATCCAGCCCTTTATGGAAAAAGTTTGCCAACCCTTAGTCTATATAAATGCTTTGACAGAACACTGTGAATATCGATGTTTAAAGTTTTAATGTGACCAATGAACTTGATTTTTTCTGGTTAATTTATGTAACCCAGGTTGGATTGACAGCCAAGCCTCTCAGAGAATAATGATTTAAATTCTAAATATATATAATTTCTTTTTAGTTTGAAGACATTAATAGGAGCATACAGATTATGAACACTAGATTTCCTTAGCGAATTGTGACTCAATTTATCCTTAATGCTTTTGCCTGGTAGCCCATTTTTGTCTGCTATTCCCTTAGTTATACTTTCTTTTAGTTAATTTCCTCCTTGTAAGTCTTTTCTCCAAGCCATCACTTTCAGCCTTCCGTTTGTCATTATGTTTTGAATATGTCTCCTATATCCTGCACTCAGCTGTGGGGAAGAGCCTGATATCTGCCATTCTGTATCTGCTCTGTGCCCTCGTACTAGAAGAACCCTGGTTTTTAGCTGGGCATTTGAGCACCCAAATGAAGACTGCACTTGCCAGCATCCTTTGCCTGTAGGTGTACCATGTGATAAGCTCTGCCTAATAAGATATAAGTGGTGCATACTCGCTACCCCTTTCTTCTTTGTTCCTGCCTCCCGCCTGCCATCGGGAAAACAAGCACATGTGGGCACACTCCAGGGATGACAGACCAGCAAGCCAGAAGCAGCCTGGGTCCTTGATGACTCTGTACAGCTGGATTCCACCTACAGACTTTTCTTGGGGGGGAAATAAATTTCTATCCAGGTTAAGGCATTGTTATTTTTGTCCTTCGTTACAGGGAACCCAATCTAATATTGATACTTTCTTTTGTGACTGGGACTCTCTGACTGTTAATTGACAAATTTAGTCTGCTTATATTTATTGTAATTATTGATTTTCTTTTTTTTAAAGGATTGTTTCTACCTTCTGTTTTGATGTTTTCTGTGTACCTTGTTTTTCTTTGCTTTTTTTTTCTTTCCCGGCCTTCTACTGGCTTAATCAAGAATTCTTCATTTCCCCCTTTTCCTCCTCTATTGATCTGACTATTGAATGGTATGTTCTATTTCTGTTATATTAATAGTACCCTTACGTGGTTAATCTAAAGCTAATCAATGAATCTATCCTTCTCTAGAACAACAAAAAGTATTTCAGCATGCCTAAAGCATCCCTTCCCATCTTCTGGTTTTATTATTCTAGTCTATTCTTGATTTTAAATCCCCCAAGTCAATTTTTGCTTACAGTTATTGCTTCTCTAGACCTATCAGTATGTTTACTGATTTCTTTCCTGACCACTATGTAGCACATCCTCTGCCTTCATTCTGGGATTCAATTTCCTTCTTACTGAAACTATTCCTTCCAGCAGGGTATGTGTGTGGGCAACAGCCTTTGTTTATTAAAAAAAAGTTTATATTTCACCTTCATCCTTGAATAATGATTGAACTAGGTATGGGTTTCTTGGCTGACAATTATTTTTTCTGTGCATATTGAACAATTTATCCATTTTCTGAAATCTATTGTTGCCAATGAAAAGTGTTTGGTGAGCAATCTGACTTTTCTCTCGAGATTTTAGTTTTGTATCCTGCAGCTTCACTGGGATGTATCTCGATGTACATTGGTTTTTATTTATCCTATTCAGGCTTCAATTTGCTCCTTCAATCTGGGCACTTAATGCCTCTGGAAGTCTTTATGGAAATTTTTCAACAGTCATCTCTTTGATTATAGCCTCCTGCCCATTCTGTATGTTTCCGCCTTCTGAGGCTCTCAGTGACTTTTAACTACCCTTGAACACCTTCCATATTTTTGTCTCTCAGTGCTACATTATAGGTGAATTTTTCCGATACAGCTTCCAATTCATTAATCTTCTTTTAAATCTGTGTTTGGTCTGCAGTTTTAACTTATCCATTTATTTTTTCATTCTAATGGCTATACTTTATATTTCTAGAAGTGCTGTTGGGTTATTTTTAAAATCTTCCCATTCTATTTTCATGCTATGAGATTACTGCATATTGCTCTTTCTTCTTTTATTGCTTTTTTTTTTTTTGCATCTATTTTGTGGTCCCTTTTAGTTTGTTCTATTATTTACACTTTGAGACGCCAAATCTCCTGTTTTCACATCTGTCTAGCCTCCTCGTGCTGGTTTGTTTCCTTGTTTAACCTGTTATTTTTATCATGAGTTCATCTCTGGGAGCAGCAGGGGTTTTTGTTTGTGTTTTTAGAAGTTCCATATGTCCATGTGGATTGAAAGAGTGCCCCTTTTCAACAGTTTCCCCCCCCCTTTTTTTTTTCCAGCTTTTCACACCCTGGAGATAGAGCACACTCAGGCCTGCAGGGCAGGTCAGGTTCTCCGGGGTGGCTGAAGGCCCTGAGTGTCCGCCTCCTTGCCACTTTCTCAGGCTGGCCAGTGAAGATATATTTCAGTCCCTGTTTCAAGAACAGGGTAGCCCTTTGAGACCCCGGAATGTTCCAGGAGGTTCATTTCTTGCTCTCCAGACTCATATGGGTCTTCTGTCACTGGAGTGTGTCAGAGCTCAGGTGCCCAAGCCTCTGTCCAAGTCTGAAACCACAGGGTCTGCTCCCTCCTACAACCCCAGCTTGGATTTCTCCTTGTCTTTGGTCCCTGGGGGTCATTGCTTTCTATCTTTCAAATTTACTTCTTAAAAAAATCATTCTAGTGGGGGAGGGGGGCAAGGGCAACATACGTAACCTAAACATCTGTACCCCCATAATATGCTGAAATAAAAAAAAAATCATTCTATTCACCTCAAGAGGCGGGAGGGGTCCAGCCACCCTCTCTATTCACCACGTTACTTGGGATCCCCCAACACTGCCCACCTTTGAAGCTGCCAGAGCCAGGGAACTCCCTACCTCCAAGGGTCTGGAGAGACCTTAATCTTGCTCCCATGGGGAATGGCGGGCAGTTGTGAGCGGGTGTTCTCCTGGCAGCTCGAGGAGGGGGAGGTGAGGACGCAGGTGGGCGGGTGGAATAACAAGCAGACTCTCAGGCCAGGTGTTGCCAGGTGTTAGAAGTCTGGGGGCTGCTGGGTCTCTTCCATCCTGGAACCTCTTGGGGTAGGATGTGCGCCCTTGTTCCTGCTGGGGTCCGGGGCCCCAGGGGCAACGGATCCCCCACTCCTGCAGCCTTAGTGGGTCGACAGCATCATCACAAACTCTGCGGGAAAGGAGGGCAGGGCTTGGGCGGGTCCATGGCTGGGGGTAGATCCCAGGAGGTGCTGGGCTCAGCCTGGGCACTGGAGGGACAGGAGTGTTGTCTGGGAGGGAGACTCACCATCAAAGTCTACAGTGCCATCCCCATTGAGGTCCACTTCTCGGAGCATCTCATCCAGCTCAGGACCAGCCAACGGCTCCCCCAGCAGAGCCGGTGCTGCCTGCCGCAGCTCTGCCACTGTGATTCGTCCATCCCTGTCCCTGTCAAACTAGGGTCCGGGCGGGGATCAACCCCTCCCACCCAAAGCGGCCTCACCCTGCACCCGGCCCCACGCTTGCCACTGCCCAAATGCTCCCCTGCCCACTGTCGTCATCGCTCATCCAAACCTTCCCCATCGCCCCCTGCCAAGAGAGCGTGCCTCCTGCTCCAGGAAGTCTCCCCACATGGGTCCCCCAGCTGGGAGCCAGCTGAACCCTCTCTGACCCACCCAGGCCCTAGTCCCACCGCCTGCAGGGCTCTGGGCCTTGACAAGGCTGAGGCCCCCAGTCTCTCTGGCCTGAGAGGCTGGCAAGGACACCATCCAGCCCGCCCCCCACTGCCCCCCACGACCGCGCTCCGCACCTCTCGGAAGGCGATGCGCAGCTCTCGCACCCCCAGCATGTGCGCCGTCTCCTCCCTCAGCTTCGGGCTTATCAGTTCCACGAACTCCTCGAAGTCCACACGGCCACCCACTGTGGACCCAGGCAGACTGTCACAATGGTGAGGGCTGTGGCCCAAGAAGGGATGTGATGAGGACCAGGGACCACCCACCCCCAGGATCCGCACCAGGAAGGAACACCTGTGTCCATGCCTGCAGGGGTAGGAGGCTGGAACCCTGTTTCTGGGTTACTGAGGGGCCAGGGCTGCTTCTGCTCTTCGTGAAGAACCCCAGTGTGGGAGAAAGAGAACAGGCTTAGGAGCCAGAAGTCCTGGCTTCAGATCCTGGCTCTGCCCATGGTGTGCATGGTGTCCGGTGACTTACTAACCCTCCCTTCCTCATCCTAGAATGGGGATGAGAGAACCTGCTCCGTGCGGGTGCTGTCGGAGTTAGAGTTCATGGCTATAAAGCGCTAGGGCCCAGCAGGTGGCAATAAATGCCTTCCGAAGCACACCCATGTAGTCAGTGCCTCAGTGCTAAGATTCCATCAGTCGTATAAAGCAGCGGTCCCCAACCTTTTTGGCACCAGGGGCCAGTTTCATGGAAGACAATTGGGGCTGTGGGGGGCGGGGTGATGCTGTCACTGACTGCGCATCTTGACGTGCTGGGAGACCTCCAGCAGCTCCATCTCAGTGGGCATGTAGCCCAGGGTCCGCATGCAGTCGCCCAGGTCCCGGTAGCCAATGTAGCCGTCACGGTCAGCGTCGAACTCCTCGAAGGCAGCCTGAAGCTCTGCGGGGGAGGGAGGTCAGGCCCAGGCAGCCAGGCTCAAGGAAACCTCCTGCCCCAGCCAGCAGCAAGAGCCACTCACCATCCAGCTCCTCGGGGCCCAGCTCACGGTCCTGCAGGAGATAGTCCAGCATGTCCCCAGGGCCAGCCAAGGTCTGTCCATCCTTCCTCCTCCAGCCCCCGTCCACGCTGGCCACGGGAGGCCAGCCCCGCCAGGGCAGGAGAAGGCATCTGGAGTCCCGCGGGCCCCCGGAGGTGAGAGCCCACTTCGCGGTCCGGACCTCGAGCTCCCAAAGAGCCCTGGGTGCAAGTGCTGGCTCTGCCCACTGCCCGGGCCCGCCTGAGACCACCCAGCTTTCCCCAGACTGTGGCAACCCTGCCCCACAGCCCAGGCTTCCCGGTCTCGGGCAAGAGAGGCAGGAAGCCTGGTACTAAGGGGCAGGGTAGCATGAGCCTGTCTCCGTCCCCACCCCCCGCGCCCCAGCCCTGCCCAGGCCCCACCTGACCTTCCCGAAGATTCGGTCAAGCAAGGGCCCATATGTCCTGTGAGCAGCATCGCGCTGGGGGTCAGGTCGATGCCGGTGGGACTGGCGACGAGAGGCTGGCCCAGGGGCTTCAGCGGGGGCCCCTGCCTGCCCCTCTCCCATCCTGGAGGGGTTCTTGCTGCTGTCCCCGGCCTTGGGGCCCTGGACAGGGGTCTGCTCCCCAGAGCTGCCAGTGCCCTTCCGGGACCCTCTGAGCCCCCTCTCCCTCCTGCTCCTCCTCTTGGTCAAGGGGGCCCCCTCGGCACCACTCCTGGGAGCCGCAGCCCCTGCAGGGGGCTCCTGCGGGCCAGTGGCCGGGTCTGGTCCATGCTGCCCCCTTGCTTGCTCTGTGGCCATGTGGGAGGGACAACAGGGCTCAGAGATGCTGCACCCCAAGCACCCTCGGCTCTTGGGCCCCGCAAAGCTGCTTATGCACCCCCACTCTTAGCACTGATGGCCTGGGATCGGGCTCGGAGGGGGATTAGGGTAAGTGATGTAGGCAGCCCAGGCCCTAATCCCAGCCCTCTGCCCCGGGTGTCCCAGGCAGGGCCAGATGGGTCAAGAGAACTGTCCTTAGTCAGCAGCAAGGGGTACCAGGACGCGGTGGCTGCCATGAGCTTCAGACTGCAGCTCTGCCACATACTGGCTGGGAGACCCAGCAAAGTCACCCTTCCAAGTCTGTTCCCTTGTGCATAAAATAGGGGGAAGACTGCAGAGGCTGGAGGACCTGCCAGCAGTATGCCATGGGCAGAGGACTAGCCAAGCAGAGTGGGGGACCAGGGAGGGCATTTCAGGCAGGAGAAAGCATGTGGGCAAAGGCTGGGAAGGGGGAAGGACCAGTCACCTACTGGGGCCCCCCATGGGGTGACATCCTGGCCAGAGCGTAGGGCAAGTGAAATTGAGGAAGAGAGGCCAGATCACAGAGGCCTCGAGTGCCAGATTGAGGGGCACGAGGGTGATGTCAGAGGAAGTGGCCCCGGGGGATCCTTGAGCTTGTCCTGGGCTGGAGGAGCCCAGGGTGAGGAGGGGGTTCAGGCATTTGGCCCTGTCAGGGGTGAGGGTGTCTGGCTGATCACTTGGCCCTGCTAGGCCGGGGTTAGGGTTTCCCGGCGAGCAGCCCCATGAATGATTGATGTCCTCTCAGCTTGGGTTTCCTGCCTGCCCGCCTCAGTGCCGCCGGGCGCCGTGCAGCAGGCCCCAGTGAGGGCCGCGTGGACAGCTGGACCGCAGGGCAGACAGGCACGCCCTGCTCCTCCAGCGACCAGCCTGCGCCCCACAGGTAAGCGGGGCCTCGCTGGTGGGGCCTGGGGTGGGGGTGCCCAGGGCCCTGATCCAATAGGGACTGAGCTTGCAGAGCAGGGGCAGCCTGAGGCAGAGCCCTGGGCTGGGGGAGGCCACCAGCCTAAAGCCAAGTCGCCTTCAGGGGCATGCGGTCCCTCCCCTAGCTGCACCGCCACCAGGCCTTTCTCCATCCTCAGCGGCAGACGCCCTCCCCTCTGCCTGTTGGGGAAGGGGGGCGGGGAGGGTGGGCCTCTTGGGTCCCAGGGTTGGGCGCCCCCCAGCCCACCTCACCCCTGCACACTGCAGAGCCCCCGTCCCCTTCTCTATTGAGTAGCTCCAGCAGACAAATGGAGGCCACTTTCTGCCTGAGCTGTGGGACGCGTGTGGCGGGGGCTCCTACTACCTGCCGCCCTGTTCACCCTTGGGCGCCCGTGGGCCTGTGGGACCCAGAGCCCTTCCGGCTTGGAATTTCAAACACTCGAACCACAGGGTACGAGGCATAAAGGGGTCTTGAGATGAGCTGACCAAGTGGTTTTCAAGCCGTATCCCCTGGAGCCTTAGGGGAGTGTTCCTCCTTTCATCCGAGCACTGCTCTAGTCCGCACAGGAGCTCACTGTAATACTTTATTTAAAGACAAGGTTCAACAGCTTTAACAGTAAGTTTGAAAGTCTCTGGTTTGGTCCACTGGGACACACTGGGATTCCACATGTCAGAAAGAGTAGGTCTGGGTTCGAGTCCTGTGCTCCCCGTGTTACCTATGACCTTGGGCAAGTCACTGATTCTCTGAAGCTTCCTCTCCTCATCTATGAAATGGATTGCATGAGGACAGCAGGTCATCTGTTAGAAGTCCCTGCTATAGGCTAACTACCCAAAACGTGAGGATGATGGCCCACAGAGGGACAGTGACTTGCCTGGAGATGCACGACTCTCTCTCTCTCTCTCTCTCTCTCTCTCTCTCTCTCTCCCCCACCCTCGTTTATCTTTTTTTTTAGAGACAGGGTCTCACTCTGTCCCCCAGGGTAGAGTGCAGTGGTGTCATCACAGCTCACTACAACTTCCAACTCCTGGGCTTGAGCAATCCTCCCGCCTCGGCCTCCTGAGTATCTGGGACTACAGGTGTGTGCCACCACGTCCGGCTGATTTTTCGTAGAGATGGGGTCTTGCTCTGTTGCCCAGGCTGATCTCAACCTCTCTGTCCTACTCAGTCATTCACACAATCGTTGACTCCCCAGGCACCCACTCCATGTCCAGCAATACTCTGGGGACCCCAAATGGACACTGTTATGGAAGCCAACATGGGCGCCACTGGCCACAGGCCCCGCACAGAGCTCGATGAAGAGGACTACTACCCCCAGGGTGGCTGGGACACTGTCTTCCTGGTGGCCCTGTTACTCCTGGGGCTGCCAGCCAATGGGCTAATGGCATGGCTGGCTGGCTCCCAGGCCCGGCACGGAGCGGGCACACGGCTGGCCCTGCTCCTGCTCAGTCTGGCCCTCTCTGACTTTTTGTTCCTGGCGGCTGCAGCCTTCCAGATCCTGGAGATCCAGCATGGAGGGCACTGGCCGCTGGGGACAGCCGCCTGCCGCTTCTACTACTTCCTGTGGGGTGTGTCCTACTCCTCCGGCCTCTTCCTGCTGGCCGCCCTCAGCCTGGACCGCTGCCTGCTGGCGCTGTGCCCACGCTGGTACCCTGGGCACCGCCCGGCCCGCCTGCCCCTCTGGGTCTGCGCCGGGGTCTGGGTGCTGGCCACGCTCTTCAGCGTGCCCTGGCTGGTGTTCCCCGAGGCCGCCGTCTGGTGGTATGACCTGGTCATTTGCCTGGACTTCTGGGACAGCGAAGAGCTGCCACTGCGGATGCTGGAAATCCTGGGGGGCTTCCTGCCTTTCCTCCTGCTCCTCGTCTGCCACGTGCTCACCCAGGCCTCGGCCTGCCGGACCTGCTGCCGCCGCCAGCCTTGGCCCGCAGCCCGCCAGGGCTTCGCCCGTGTGGCCAAGACCATTCTGTCGGCCTACGTGGTCCTGCGGCTGCCCTATCAGCTGGCGCAGCTGCTCTACCTGGCCTTCCTGTGGGACGTCTACCCCGGCTACCTGCTCTGGGAGGCCCTGGTCTACTCTGACTACCTGATCCTGCTCAACAGCTGCCTCAGTCCCTTCCTCTGCCTCATGGCCAGCGCCGACCTCCGGGCCCTGCTGCGCACAGTGCTCGCCTCCTTCGCCGCGGTCCTCTGCGAGCAGCAGCCGGGCAGCTCCGGGCCGGCCGAGTCGCAGGCCCAAGTGGACCCCGAGGCTCCGGCTCTGCCAGGGCCGACAGCTGTGTCCCCGCCTCAGCGAAATCCCACGGCCCAGCCCCGGCCGGATCCCGAGGCCCCCCCACAGTCGGATGCTGAGGCCCAGGCCCCTGGGCCCACTGCCAACTCAGCCCCCAGTCCCTGTGATGAAGCCACCCCTGCCCCATCCTCAGATCCCAGCCCAGGGGCCCCTGAGAACCCAGCCACACCTCCTGCCTCGGAGGGAGGAAGCCCCAGCAGTGCCCCACCGGAGGCGGCCCCCAGTGCGGGCCCCACGTGAGGGTCCGCAAAGCCCAGGTCACCAGGGCAGTGGAAGAGCCAGGGTGGGACAGCAACCAGCCCGTCCGAGAGATGGTAGCTGTGGGGAATGTCATCCTGGAAAACCCCACGGCGTCCCTTGAGCCTGGGAGGACTTGGGGCAGGTGAAGGCAGCAGCCCAGAGCCTCAGACTGTCTGTTGGGAGCGTCCCCTGCCCGGTCCCAGCAAGCTCTTCCATAGTCGCCCCTGACACACTGTTGTCCAGCAGCCCCCGAGCCACAGCTAATAGCGTCCTCCAACACCCCCAGACCCCACTGACAGGCTCCCCTGCGCCTCAGTCCTGCTGGAGGAAGACAGCAGGAGGTACTTTCCCAGGGCTTTGTCTGACCTCCCTTTGACCCTTCCCTCCCTCTCCTCCTCCCTGTCCTGTCCTTCAGCCTGGACATAAGGATGCCTAACGTAATAGTCCCTGCAGACAATAGAGGCTTCCAGAAGCCAGCAGCCCCAAACAGGAGCCTGAGGCCCTAGTGGCCCACAAGCTGGCCTGGCATGGCCAAGCCCTCTCCACTAGTCCCCTGCCCCCAACAGTCAGTGAGGCTGGAGCAGGACCTCCCTCAGCAAGGCAGCAGCAGAAGAGGCAAGAGCTCTCTAGCCTGGATTCAGATCCCACTCTGCCATGTCCCAGCTGGGTGACTCTGGACAAGCTACTTCACCTTCGGAGCTCCCATGTCATCTGCTGTTGTGAGGATTAAATGAGAAAGTGTGTGAGGTGCCCAACAAGAGCCTGGCACACAGTAGAGGCTCAGTGAACAGATGTTGTTTTCCTTCACTGGCCTACAGGGGTGGATGAGGGGAGGCAGGTGGGACAGCCACCACCTGGCCTGAGCATCTGGAATGCTGTGACCAATCTGTGCTGTGGACACCCAGGTGGCCTGAGAGAGCAGGGGGCTGCCTCTGTGCCTTGGGAGGGGGGCTCCAGAGGACTTTAGAATCTGACTCCATTTAAGGTTTCAATTAGCAACCCCTGCCCCTCAGCCCCCCATGGGGGGGCTGCACAAAGACTGTCTAGGGGCTCAGGGACAGAGTGCCCAAGGGCACAGGCAGGAGGCTGCCCACGCACAGAGAGCTCTGGGTTCCCGAAAGGGCAAAGGCTCCTGGAGGGCACACAGCATCTCGAGGGCAGAAGCAGCTTTTCCCTCTCAGGCTGCAGACGCCGCAGAAAAATCTAGGAAGTGCTAAAGGTCTGTCTTTCCACCCAGCCCGCTTCCCTTTTCACAGCCGTCACCCTCCTGGGACCCGCCCCACCCAGCTTTCTCCCAAGCCCCAGTGTTCCAAAGCCAGGCCCTTTCCCGCTCTTCGCCCTCCCACTCCCACTAGCTCAGCATCGTGACCTCCAGCAACCGAGAGGGGCCCTTGCCAGCAGGTGTAAGTGACAGCGATGTTCTACGTGCCACCCTTCCCAGGGAGGCTCTCATTTCGAAAAGGAAGCAGGCTGTGCAGGCCGCCTGGAGCGGTGCCGCACATCTGGGTTCTGATGCCTAGCTCACTCTCAGCCTCAGTTTCTCCTCTGCCAAATGGGTGACAGTGTTCTCCTTGGAGGGTTGGCAGTTCTGAGCCCGGGGTGGGAAGTGCAGGGGTGCAGTAGAGTGATGCTAGAAACACAATCGTAGCGTTTCTTACTGATGGAATTGTGGGCACTGAGGCGGGTGGGAGAGAGATTTCTGGAACTCTCTGGGAACTTGTTGAATTTACTCACCCAACCAATATTTGTTGAGCACTTGCTAGGTTTCTGGCCAGCCTTCCAGTTTGGAGACGCATGAATGGGGTTAAGCCTGTGTTCTCTGGGGCCCTTCAGGGGTTGTTTGAATCCTGGCTCCACAAGTCACATGTGACCGACAACAAAGCTCTTGGCCTCTTTGGGACTCAGTTTCCTCACCTGTAAGATGAGGATCACAATAATGGTGCCCACCTCCTAGGAGCGTCGGTCCCTGCGAAGTGCTTGGATCCTCACCTGGCACGAGTAAGTGCTCAGTAACTGCTGGCCATCAATTCCATTGCACCAGTGGGCACCCGGAGGCCCCCTCAGGCCTGGGACCAATACTGAGACACAGGCCAGAGCCCACGTGGCAGGTCATCTGCCCACCAGGTATTGTGCCTCCACCACGCTGCCCCCTTCTCCGTAAGATCAGCTTTCACCCTCTCCATCCCGCCCAAGTGCACACTCTGAGCACAGGGCCTGGACTTCTGTGCCCCTGTCCCTTTTTCTGGGCAGAGCTGCCCAAGGCTTTTCAGCATGGCAGGCAGATCAGGGACTAAAACTTCAGGGCCAGCCACCTGCCTTCAACTCTGGTCCACACTCCAGTGGAACAGCCCCACTTCCAAGGGATCCACCCATAATGGGTAATTTCTATCCAGAAAAAAGAACAATGCCTGAAGGGTTTTGCAGGATAAAGAGGAGTTCTGGTGGCCCGCAGAGGAGGGTTTTGTGTTAGAGAAAATGGGTATGAAAGAGGGCTCACCCCGAAGACATTCCACAGCCCCCACCTCACCCCTAACACATCCCGGGGGGCTGGGCTCCTGTTGTCCTCTGGGAGACTCCTTCCCTCTCCAGGTGACAGGCACCCTTCCCTCTCTTTCACGATCGTGAGTTGTGATTATGAACATCTTTCAATCCTGCAGGCAGGGCTGCTGTTCACGCATTCATTCAGCCCACGTTACTTGGTCCCATCCCACGTGCTGCGTCTTGTTCTAGGTGCTGGGAATACAGTGGGAAGCAGGACAGGGTCCTGCGCTCAGTCTGCCGACACCCTAGTGGGGCAGGGCAGATGCGAAGCAGACATGCAAATCAGCACATAATGTAACATCACACGCAATGTCCCATCAGGTGGTGATTAAGAATAATGCAGTGGGAACAAGGAAGGGCCAGAGAGTGGCTGGATGAGAGGGGTGGTCAGGGAGGGCTAGAGGAGGTGAGTTTTCAGTAGAGACCCGGAGGAATGAGGGATGGAGCCTTTCTAAGATCTGGGGGAGGAGCTTCCAGATAGAGAAAAGAGCAAGTGCCCAGGCCCTGGGGTGGGAATGAAGGTGGACAGGGGGTCCATGTCACTGGGGCACATACAGGGAGAGGACAGGGGTAGGTGATAAAGGGGTGGGGGGCAGGGGTCAGACAGGCAGGGAGGCAAGGGTGAGGGGTGGAGGGATGGGGGCTGTGGATTTCATTTCAAGTGGGGCCATGGGGAGTCAGAGGGAGGGCTGAGAGTAGGAGAGTGACAGCCCCTCTGGCTGTTGCTGGGGGGTCAGCGGAGCGCAGGCTGCGTTGGTGCCTTCCTGCTTCCTCTTCCTCACCCAGCCCTCGCGGGTGTGTAGAGCAGTGGGAAAAGCAAGGACTTTGGAGCCAAACCCATGGCATCGAACCTGGCTGGGTGACCTCATGCAGCTACCTCACCTCTCTGAGCCTGTTCCTCAACTGTCCCAGTGGTGAAGGAAATGAGATGGGGTGCAAGCCCCAGGCCACGCTGGGACACACAGTGTGGGCTTCCTGCCACCAGAGACAGGCTCCTTTGACTTTTCCCTGCCCCCTCTTTCTGGGAGAGGGACGCTGCCATCACCCTTTGGTCAGCGGGGGCAGTAGCCAGGGCCCAAGGGAGGAATGAAGGAGGTAGCCAGTGCCCCAGAACGGCCGTCCTGAGCGAGAGGGGCAGACTCCATCTGTGGGACTTCCAGGGACACCTCCGTCCCCCAGGGTGGGGCCGGACGGGGTGGATCTGAGGCCAATCTGGGCTCCTTGCCACAGGAGATGGCTGGAGGAAGGGAGAAGCTGTGGACTGACCACCTCCAGGCCTCCGGGAGAGGTGGAGGAAAGGATCTGATTGCGACTTGTACTAAGAAGGGCCAGCAGCACTCCGGGGGCTCGTCGGGGAGAACGGGACGCCTGGGCCTTCCACTCACTGCTTAAACATCGCTATTTTATTTACATTGTTAACCAAGAGCATGAATTTACTTTTTTTTTTTTTGAGACAGCGTCTCACTCTGTTGCCGGGGCTACAGTGAGTGCCGTGGCAGCAGCCTAGCTCACAGCAACCTCAAACTCCTGGGCTCAAGCGATCCTCCTGCCTCAGCCTCCTTAGTTGTCCAGATAATTTCTTTCTATTTTTAGTAGAGACGGGAGTCTCGCTCTTGCTCAGGCTGGTCTTGAACTCCTGACCTTGAGCGATCCACCCGCCTCGGCCTCCCAGAGTGCTAGGATTACAGGAGTGAGCCACCGCGCCCGGCCAAGAGCATGAACTTTTATAACTTAAAAAGAGGCGGGTAAATATATCAATTGTCGGTGTAGGCGCCACACTCTGGAGTAGGGGGCGGTGAGGGGGCCCTCGAAGGTGCGCGTTCGGGTCGGGGGGCGGGAGGGCGGAGCTTCGCCCACAGCCCGCGCCTCCGGCAGATGCCGCAACGACGAGCAGCGCGCAAAAGGGGCCCGGGTCTGCGGCCCG